TCTTTATTTCCAACCGTTTCATCGATCCTATAATTTTAGTTAAATGATTTCAATTACCGAATAATAACTAATTTGTCTTTTTCTGATTTCGGAAGCTCTTCGCTGCTACATAGAAAATAAATAAGATATTTATAAACATAGAATTAGGCCAATAAGCACTCATAATCAATGGCCGAAAACAAAAAGCTGCTAGTTGTTATGTAAGTAACCGTTGAATGGCGACGTCCCTGTTCAATACTTGAGTATTTTCTTTATAAGGATGGCTATCTTGTATATCTTTATTATTAATGTGGCAATGTTGCATATTGTCGTTATTAATAACGATATTGTCTTGTGTATTTTCATTATTGATGCGGCCATCTTGTGTATTTTCTTCAAAAGTATGGCTAAATTATGGTTTAAAAGCATTAAAAACAGAAAATTAATTAGAAGTTATGGATGTTAATATCCTTGATAACTAAAATTAATTTCAAGATAGCAGTAATTAAGGATTACGCCTGTTTGGCTAGGTTTTCATCTGGTTGTTCCAAGCTTTCCTTTCTGAAAGGTAAAATTAAAAAAATTTACTTCTTAAGTCAAACTTAGCGCCATCAGTGTCTTTAAATCCTACATATTTTAATAAATTAACTCACGTCGGAACCGGTAATTTCTCAGCTGGAGTTTCATTTCCCTCACTCGTAGATAAAAATATGTACAAGTTTACGTGTATATTTAGTAAATTGCAAGGCTTAAATACGTTTAAATTGAAATCATTTTGACTATAAAATTCACGTCAAAACAGGTGATTTCTCTTTTGGAGTTTCTTTTCCCTTATAGCTAGATTAAAATATGTACAATAGTTTAATGATAAAATTTAATACGTTATAAAATCTAAACATGTTCTTATTTAAATATTTTAATTATAAGATTTACGTCATATCTAGTAATTTTTCCACTGGACACTCCTTTTCCTCGCTCCTAGATAGAAAGATATAAAAATATACGTATAAACTTTAGCAAATTTTAAAAATTAAAGGTGGTCCTACCTAAGTCTTTTTTAACTATAAAACTCACCCCAAAACAGGAAATTTCTCTACTGGAGCTTCCTTTTCCTCTTCTCTATGTAAAATATTTAAAAATTTATTTATAAAATTTTAATAAATTATAAAATTCAAATTAGATTAGCTAAAATTGTTTTAACTATAAAACAAACATTAAAACGGCTAATTCCTCTACTGAAGTTTCCTTTCTTTCATCGCTAAATAAAAATATTCAAAAGCTTACATGAAATTTCATAATTGCGAAAATTAAATATGTAATAATTTAATTCATTTTTAAGTCTAAAAACTTACGTCAGAATAGGTAAATTCTCCGCCAAAGTTTCCTTTCCCTCATCGCTAATTAAGAATATGCTAGAGTTAACTAAAAAATTAAAATTTGTTTTAATTTAAATCATTTTAGCTATAAAACTCACGTCTGAAGAGGTAAAACATCTACCGGAATTTCTCCTTCCTCGTCTCTATATAAAAAATACGTATAATTTCACGTATTAAGTCTAGTAAATTGTAAAACTGAAGTATATTTTTATTTAAATTGATTTTAAGTACAGAGTTTGATCACCCAAGTTCATATCTACCGAGAGTATTTTCTAACAATCCCATGTATCAGTATGGAAAACTTACAGCAGATCAAGCAATTTCATAACAGACGTTTCATTCCCCTCATTTCTAAATAAAAATACGTAAATGTCAATAAATAGCAAAATTTTGTAACTGAGCACGATAAATTTGCAAAACTTCAATACAGCGGAATTGGCAAATTTTCGTCTTGAATTTCCATATTTTCCTTACTAGAATTTAAGAAAAATTTCCTTCAAAATACTAGTTACGCTAAGATAAGATATTAAATAGTTAATTAGGAAATAATTCGATTACAGTGGAATTGGTAAATTTTCATCCAGAATTTCAATACTATCAATACTAAAATTTCCGGAAAGAGTTGTTAAAAAATTGAAAACAATATTCACGCTGGTAACAGGTTTTAGAGGTGTTTAAATAAAAAATCGTATAAATTACAGCTGAAAGACTGGTAACTTTTCCACAGGGTCTACACTTTCCATGGTATTGCTTAAATAGTAATGAAGCAACAATTAACTTAAACTACTTTTACGTTCTCAATGCAGTTTCAAGATTATTAGGACGCATATTTACAATAAAGTGGGTAATACTTCTTCTGTTAGTTTGTAGCTCTGCTGGCTAGAACTTCAACGGTATTTGAGCACACGTATTTAATAAAATGAATGCTGATTTATTAAACTAATGTTACAGGATGTAGAAAAATATTCATACCGTCGAAGTGTAGTATTCTTATCAAATTTACGAACACTTTCTTCACTAAATGATTAAAGGAAGAAAAAACGTATTAAATAACCCTTACAAATCAATTCATCTAATATGATCGCTGCTGCCTAAAGAAAAAACTTTATTTCGATAATGCTTTCAGCCAGGTAATATCGTGCATCCCTAATGAACCGAATATACTCACTGTTGCTTCAGTGTTTTCCATTCAATTTCAGGTGTATTTTCTTCCTTAGACTTTTGTCTGGGAGATATTCCGGCAACAGGCAAATAAATAATCGTGAAAGAAATAAGTAATAAACGACCATTTCATTTAGAAATTAATTGTAAGAACATCTTAAATGTCTAATTAATTTAAATACTGTTTTTTCATTTCCTGCCATTCAATGTCTGGTACATATTCAGGCTTAGAATTTAATCTGACAATATTGAAGAAATAAGCAATAAATAGCTGCATTAATGTCAAAGAATTTCAATCTGAGTACATTTTTAATTTCTGATCTATAGATTGTATTCACAATTTTTTAGATAGCTTCTTTTCTATATCTGGGATATTATCATGGTCGAATTTTAATCTAGGTAGTATTCAAGAAATCACCCGTAAGTAGGCACATTACTTAAACAGCCACTACAAATTGAGAAACTCTTGAAAATTAAAGGGACATACTGTAGATTTTTCATCGTCCAGTAGCTATCTTGTTCAATCCTAGGCTTGGAATTTAACTTTGGCGATCTTAAAGAAATACGCATTTAAGTTTGAAATACTTAGAATATTTCAACATCGATTAAAATCAGAGCCTATCTTAAATTTCAAATTTATGCAATATGCTTACAGTGGTTTATTTGACAGCCAATCCTCTTTTGGCTCATTTCTAAGCTTGGAATTAAATCTAAATATTATGGAGGGTATAAATATGATATAACCATATTATTACTACATTACTTGCAGCATGATATAAGATTATCTTCAATTTCTCATAAATACAGAATACTCACAATTGTTCCATTTTCTTTTCTTCAATTTCCAGTTCATTCTCTGGCTTAGAATTAAATCTGGATGACATTGAAGAAATCAATAATCAATCGCAACATCACTTGAAGGTAAATTATAATTCAAGACTAGTTCTACATGCCAAATACTCACTGTTGCTTCATTGTTGTTGTCCAATCAATTTCTGCTGCCTTTTTCGGCTTAAAATTAAACCTAAATTTTATTATAGAAATAGGCAATTAAGAAACGTAAGTTAGCTCGACTGCTTAACAATTTGATATTTGCAGCACTTCTAATCGATGCATTGTACTTACGGGGTCTTTACTGTCTTTTTTTCAATGTCTAAAGCATTTTCAGGCTTGGAATTAGATCTATACAATATTAAACAATCGGTTAATTAACTTACTTCTGCCAATAGACTGGCATTGAATAATTAATTTCAAATTGAAAAAAAGGGACGAACAGTTCAGATGTTTTTTCTAGAGCAAACGTTTTCAAATTATCCCCACTAAGCAAAGGGCTAGGATAAACCAGATTGAATTTGTGTTACTTTAAATTTAATGTATCAGAGAAATAAAAAATTTTTTCGAATATCGATTTTAAATTAATATAACTTACCGTTGATGTGGTACATCTTCTTGATTGTCTTGAGCAGTTTCTTGACTATTAACATACAAGAAGTACCGCATATTATATAAAGTTTTCGTATCTGTGCCTTATCTTAACCTTAACTAACCTTTGAAACGTATTTTTAGATATACTCTGAGCATTTTCTTCACTAAATTGTAGGAATAAAAAATGAAAAGTGAGCACTTGCAGTTCAGCTATAATACACATCTTCAATGATATAGAGTACTAATAGCTAATAAAGATTATCAAATTTACCCATGAATCGGAGGGGAATTTGCTTTTATCATAGTATTGCCAGAATTTCTAAAATAAAAATCAAGTGCGACACCATTTAAGGAACTGTGCAGTAGATTACAAATTTCGTCTTATTAAGCAAGGAATTACTTACAGTTGGCAGCTAGTATGAACATCTGCTACAGTTGTGATTTCATCGGAATAGCTATAAGTATTAAAAATAATTTGCATTGACAATTTCCATGAACAGATATGGCATAATTACAACCTTTAAGTTTAACATAAATTGAGTAGATGTTTAGTCATTGGTTCCAGTAGAAATATCAAAGCGACATGGCTTAAATTAAGCAATAGCTATATTATCATCTATCAACTAACCGCATTCATGAATATAATTAGAAATGCATAGAGAACGCTACCGTTATTCTTTGATTGAAATTAACTAAATAAAATTCATGAATCACCGAGCAGCAAATGATATCGCTAAATATTATTGATGCATTACATTTGCGACGTTATGGTTTCACTAATAACTTGACTTTCTTCTTCAGTATTCTGCACTGAAGGGGATCTAAGTGGCAGATGATCAAAATTATTTGGTTTCGTTAGTATAACAACATTGTTAGATTAAATAGGAATAGCTTTTAAATTTTTAGATCTTGATCGATCGAGATAACTACAATTCTACAACATCACAATTAACCTCAAACAGCTAAGAAAGCACTCGGAATGCTTTTGCTGCTGCAACGGACATAGATAATATCATAGGAATAAATTACGGCTATGCTATACTACGTTAATTGAAGTACATGAATGTTTCTATCAGGCAATAGAAAAAATAATATGATTTCATTCATTACCCTTGATTGATCAAATCTCCTTCATTGAAGCGAACTTTTTGTTGTCTAAATGCTCTAATTGCCGATTATAGAAGTAATAGTTGACATTAGCGTTCACGTATAAGATACACGAACAAGATCAAATAGATATTTACACCTAAATATATGATAAATACAAAATAATGGAGTAATATAAATTTATAGTTACATTTCATCGGAAGAAGGCTTGATTATGATTGGTATATTTTCAACGTTATCACTGAGCAAGTCAAAAAGAATCATCACAATCGAAATCAATAATTCCTAATTATAATAGCCAAAATTGTACACTAAAGGTTTGTTGTATGCGATTATCAAGCTATGTTAAGCGAATATGGCGGACGATAAAGCAATAATTAAGGACTACATGATAAATTATCTACTGGTATACAAATATACAATGCTTATTCAGCAAAATTTAAGCAAGCTATTATTATTAAATATTTAAAGTAGCTCTAGTAGCAAACTAAAGTAAACAAATTGGACACGTGGCTTACATAAATTAAATTTTTTCGGTAAGATTCAATTGAAATTTACAGTTAGTACAATAGATTATTTGCTAATATTATACTTTACTTTAACCGATGCAAGAAGGTACAGAAAGGAGTAAATATTCAAATGACTTTAATGAAGCTCATAAACAGTCACAATTATATTTGTGATCTAGTTTCGAATGATCAAATAAAATTCCTTGGTATGCATTAATAATATTTCAATTAAAACGTGCTTGTACGATCTATAAACTTACAATGAAGGTAAAACAGGCTTGATATAGTAAGGGCAGGAGCACAAGGTTTTATAGGCCCATAGACTGAATTCATTACTAATTTGTATAAATTTCAGATCTTTTAACTCTTTTGATTGGATGGTATGAAACCAATGTTCATGTTCGATGGTATAAAGTCGGATAGTTTCGTCATAATATGTAGCTAGAGTATGATCATTATCGGACCATAGCTGGACTTCATATTCCAATGGTTGGCTAGGGTAGCAGTATTTTCCACGGTAGACTTTCATTAAAAGATTGTTGTTACTATTATATGCCTAAAAGTATCAAGGAAGTTCGTTAACTTAAAATTATATATCAGTATAAGATAATTATATCATGAAAAGCAAAGTAATGAGATCAGTTACCGTAAAATCCTTCCCATTTCGAACGATAAATAAAGATTGTCCGCTCAAATTTGTCATGCTTTGAATTAGCTGCCGTTGATCATTTTCAACCCGATAAATTTCTACGCCATTCTTAGTCATCTAATTTTTTACCGATTTCAGATGACGAGAGGGTCAGAATAGTTATTGCGTACATTAATATAGCGGCATCTTCCTATAAAGATCTTAGTTTGGTTATTGATCTTTCTTACCGGTTTTTCAAATTCTATATGCCATCCATCGAAGTATTCATTATGCTTCGGAACTGATATTGTTTGAACTTTAGGACCAGTATCAGTAATATCAACATGAGACACAGATAAGAGACTGATATCATTTAAATCTGGTTGGATTTTTTCCAGTATTTCAATGGAATTAGAATCTAATTTCCAGACCTACTTAATACCGTGAATGTCAAAAGGAATGATTCTAATTATTGCTAGGTAAATCAATTTAACTTGTGAATAGTAAAGTAGAGTACCATCGGCTTAGCAACTTAATAGTCTAATTAACTATCTAAAGACCGTCATGCAGAAAACAAAGCTAAGGCAATAAATTAATATGTTAATCAACTTCAAATATGCTAATCTTGATATTCGATAATGCACATGTTGCGCTATAACATTTACATAGGCTTAAACTACGATTATGAAATTAAACTTTATTAGAGCAGTTTCTAAGAGTTGCTTAATAAAGTAATCCACTTGACATACCGTATGAATTTGACCACCGGCCGAGGCTGCTATCAGATAGCGATTAAATAAGTGCATAATTTTCATGGTATCGCAGGATCTCATATAAAATGTAGCCAATGTTTCTCCATTACTACAGTTTAAGATCCATACCAGGGCGTACTATAACAAGATTAGGAAATATTTCAACCAAACTGGCTGCTTTATGATGGCAATACAAAATCCAGCTTAAGCTTTGGCTGAAATATCGATTGCACAACAGTAATAGTTTTGAACTCTAATATCATACACCAAAAATGACGTACTATGTTTGTGCGAGATCTATATATAATCAGTCTATTATCCTTCTTCCGATATTTATAGTAATGCATCTCGGGAAATTTATCTAACTTCAACTTGTGATGAACAGTCCACATATCTTCTGATAGGTTATCTAAATCTTTCAACTTCCATCGTACAAAAGAAAAATGAAGGGATACTTAGTGAATGCAGCAGTAGCATAAATTATTGAATTTAACTGCTTGATTCAATCTGGTATAATTAAAAGATGCATTGATTCTTTAAAAAATTTAAATGGCAAATAGCCAAAAGCACATTCATAAACGTCACTAAAATACTTTTTACAATGCTTTAAAAGTAAAAATTAAGTCTATAGAATGATTTAAGAAATGTAATATGATGGATAAAATAACTGGATACTCTTCAGTCCTATTGCAAGATATCGTCGAAAAAATACCGTAATTGAAAAATAGAGTCGTGATTCCTGGCGTTGTTCGATAAAATATACGATTGCTACGTAATTCCAATCTTTAAATAAGTGGCAATTAACGCCAACATCAGCTCTTCGACCATGTCGCAAAATAGTTTGATCTATCAATTGAAAATCGTCTCCTTTATAAACCTAAGGTTATACAAGAGTCATTACTTCATCATTGAAACTATATTATATCTGAAATCATTAAGAATCTAGGTAAATTTGAGGATTATATCCATAGACAGCTTGTTATAATCGATATGATAAAATTAAAATATCAGTAGTAATTAAATTCATTCCTCTAACAAGTTATTCCTAGACCCAGGCACAATTTTAGAAATCAATATTATACAGGTACTAAAAAGGACCAACCTGTAGAAATCGCTCTCCATCAGTCGTTGATATAATTTTGGCGCACACAATAACACCATCAATAAATTCAAGACGTTGGCACTGTACGTCGCCAAATACAGCAGGAATTGAATGGTTACTTTGCTTTGGATCCTTGTCGTCTTTAATAGCAACTAAGTAGCATCGTTCCGTATCGGCGAAAATAAATCTATTGTCCGCACCAGGAACAAATTGAAAACTTCGCCATAAAATATCGGCACCTAAATCGATGGTCTGGTAGGGTACCATTCCATTACGTTCATATAAATAAATCTACGGTGCGCAAAACAATTAAGAAATCTTTCAACACCAATCTCCGCAATAAAGGCTTAAAACCCAAAAATGGCAACAAACACGGGTCAATCAGACGATCTACTAAAACAGACCTTAATTTCTTGCAAATATAAGCCTGCCAAGCCTTTACCGTTATCAAATATAGATACTTTATCCATATTATCAAGATATTGGCATTGATACTCTGACGGTGGTCGACAGTTTTCTATGACTATTCCATTTTTATCGTTGTAATCATGTAATGGTACGGTGTAATATTTATGATCGCTGACGGAACTGCTACAGTCGACGAGTAATAAATCGTTATTAACGTATTTAGTGCATTCAAATTGGAAGAGAACTGTCGGTAATCCTACAAACTGATTCCTAAACAAGGTATATTTTAGCTTAATCTTCTGTAATTCTCTATAGTTTTCGGTAGACCAAACCTGTCTCGAGGGAAAGAATAATGAATAATACTCATGTTTCCTTTTTTTCAATATGCAGTTACCACTAGTATTCGCTTTAAAATTGAATAATTACTACAGAGATGAAAGTAATTACAGCTAGAATTAACATTAATTTCTAGAATCGATTTTAATCATACAGTAACATGAATATTAAAATTTGACTATAATATGGATGATTGGAATGAATCTCCAATTCACCGATGAAAATATGTTTACCTACTTATGCTTTGCTAATTTACAACTGATTGCTTTACAACAAATTTATTTCTTATTTTTATACGGTCAGCGAACTTTTACTTTAGTATAGAACAGAAATAAAATATATCAATGATATCTCAATCTTATTGATATTTTACCTCGTGATATAATTAGCATGCAGTTTTAATTGTGGCAACATAGTAAGTTCGGAGAAATTAAGGTTACCTTCAATTCAGTATTCCAAGATAGTCCTAATGCCTTTGGAATGAACTGACCAGGATCGTTAAGTGGGGTATACTGTTGCTTAAACAAGCACCAAGTGATTAATTTTTGACCGCCCTCGACAAACTGGCAGAGCAAGATGTCATTATGATGAGCAATCCAAGTTTTATCCGAATGGAAGATTTCATCAACTAACTTCCAAACCTAATTTAAAAGAATTTACACATCTTTATTAATAACCCACATCACAATAACAGTCTCTTACCTTTATCAAGGCAATTTTCTCTACTCTATTAATTGATGCTCATTCAATATTTAAGGTTTCACAATTTTACGCTTTATAAAGTAATTATTTTGGAGCAATAAACGAGTTATGATGTAATCAATCCACTTTAGATGGCGACGCCAACAGTAATAAGCAATATCCCAAAGATCTAAGAACTACGATAAAATACCTGCACTTTTCTTCCATTCCATGAAATAATAACATCATTATCATTCGGAGAGAATTCAATCTCATTGCATTTTAGAAATGGAGAAGGTTTGTCTGCTTTTCGTGTTACTCTTACAAAATGTAGCCACACTTGCTTCTCAATATGCCACACCTGCCATTTATATTTTGAGTCTGGCTATAATTCGATGCGAAATAAATGAAAGTATTATTCTTGATTCAGATTTACGTCTTCCATCTTTCTACTAAGGGTAAGATCTAATAGATACTTGATGTAATAACATTATTCAAGCACTGATGACTAAAAATTTAAATATCATCAATACATATCCCCTTATAAACCAAAAATTTACTATTCTTGCCCTATGCAAGATGTAAAGTGTTCCGATAGTGAAATTTATTTAGCCAGCCACTACATTTAAAATCTTTAACCGCATAAAAGTTACAAATCACCATGCAACAATATGTTGATCATTTTCAACTTACGTATGCAATGATTTTACCATTTGGAGATATTTTAGCAGAACAGCCTCTATATGCATTGAAGGTAACTATTTTATTGAAATCGGTAACCTAAGATAAGACAGAAAAAGTAAATATGAGTGATTAATATTTTCTTTATTAGTACTCCAAATCAATACCCATTTTTTTATCCTTTACAAAATTGCTTATATTAATATTAGTTAGCTCCATCAAATTATTTAACAAGGCTTAATTTCTATCGAAATACTTTCTAAAAGTTTGAAATTTAAAATGCATTAAATACAATGATGCTTTTATTCCAACATGGAGATATCACTTACGTAAATTTCTCTATCTGTACATGTTACCATTCTAAGCTTCCCAAACTCAGGATTAGAGCATCGGATATACAAACGCAGACGTTCATTTAATGTACATGGCAAATGGATGCACTGTTCCCATGGTGGCTTTACGCGAATTTCATTTTGGTATCTTGATGAAGGAAATTAATAATTAATCGATTGCAAAAGGTTTTTAGATCATGATATATATAATAAAAGATGTATAAACAAAGGTATCACATTGCAGCTACGGCTTCATAAAGCCTTTAGGTTATCTAGCGGGAAATTAACAAGAAAGAAAACGAACAAATTCGTAAAATTTAAATAAGATTAACTTTATCTTTGGATTAAATCATTTTATTCCCGGTAGGTATACTAAAGAGTTCTCTTATTTCTAGTAACCACATCGATATTAGTACAATGATAAGATTAGACGAACTGATCAAAGATTGCTTGGACTTACTTTAATTCAAAGTAGGTCCGACCAATTTTCATTGCCTGGCGTTCCATGGCCATTTGCCAAGCTTGATGATGAAGCTCATTATCGGCAGTATGTTCTAATGTAAATTGTATAAGATCATCTTTTCCAATATCCAGGAAAGACCCATATTGACGAAATAGCTGAGCAAATGGTTGCATTTTAAGCCAATCCTATGTAAAAATAATCAAGGCAGGAACGATGATTCCAAGCTGATACTGCTACAATACATGTAAACATATGCTACATCCGTAACAGCAAGCTATCGACTTTATTTTATATTAGTAATATCTGCAAAATTATGATATACACCATACTTACGCTTTCGTCTAGCCGTCCCTCACAAATATCATAATCGCGTAGTAGATCAGATAAACAATGACAAGCTTTAAATTTAACTTCAATCCAATGTAAATTAGTCAGTAAATCATTAACAGTTTTAAAATCATTGGCGGCAATAGCATGGTTAACAAGTTGCTGATGCATATAACCGTCGTCTGTTAAAGTATGCCACCGTTGCTGGCATTTCACTTGACATCGTTGAATGAATAGCTGATGTTGTTTTGTAATATCCAGATAAAATTTTCGAATACTATCCACAGCTTTATGGTCCAGTTTACAGCATGGGCTTTTTAAGGAAAAAGGGACATGAATCAATGATCGTAATAATTCGTCTAGGAGAAATACATTTCTATTCTATTCTATTGCTATCCATATCTGTACCATGCAGCAGTATAAGACTAATTATAAAATCAGCAGTCTACTATAGTAGTAACAACCTATAATCTAAGCAAAGGTCTGCAATGTACTGTATATTTCAATTAAACATTAATTCCAGCCACCGTACAAATAGTCTTTTGCTACAGTATGGCTACTCGTATACCAAAAAGAGTAGGATTGCATGACTTTATCTCATGTATTTGGAAATGATAAAACCAATTGATATGAAATACTACAGCTATGAACTTCTACAGGCAAGATAAAACTTTTAATTACGGTAAATTGGAGCTTAATGCCATATAGTTCTTCTGTGATCATAAGATATTCATAGATTAGAACTTCAGTCAAGTTTTATCTCCTCATAAGCAGTGTTTATTAATGCACAAGTACTTTAGTTTTAAAGCTAATCATTAATAATTATCTGCATGATGTCATCGTATTCAAATTTACTAGAATTTTCACGTCGTTCTATGGTGTTTCGTAAACTGATACTGCTATCTTTAGTAATTGCAAATGTCATCATAGCCATCAAAGGATTCACGATAATCACTTTTATGGCATGAATCTTGAAATGATAATTTCAAAAACTAAGAGACGATATCAAAATAAATTAAATTCGATCATCCATTAAGGATTTCCTTTCTATTAAAGCACGTCTTTTGAAATTGCGTCTCGCATTCTCAACGTGAAGGCAATTCCAACGTTACTTAGCACAGTCCAAACAAATTTAAAAATTCTGTTTGGTACTACCTGCGAGGAAAATTGCAGGGCGATATTACCTTCCATTTTTGCTGTAAACATAGGCCAGCCGTTCTTTTTGTATCAATTCTAACTGAGATCTCACCAGATCCTCAGACATTTCCCAGAATGTACTTATCGTAGTAAGAGGAATAGGAATTCCTTTTTCAAAGATACTTAATTGAAGAATGTGATTTTTCATTGTTTCGTCGCAAGCATTAATCCGTTCCCATATCTGCTGCAAGTAGTCTACCAGAAGAATTAAATTACATGCCAATACATCAATGGAATAAGTTTATAAATATCACTACATGTAATACCTTTATAAAAACCTTTTCATCAGGTCGACAAACGATTTCAGTTAAATCTTTTATGCATTTTGTATTAGTTTTTACGAAAACATATGCGAGTATGCAATGTCATTGACAATCATTTGTTCATTTGACATGATTATAATCACAAAAAATTGAAGTAAAGTCAAATCATTCGTGAATTAGCCTAATTAAGTATATCTAGGTTTGCGTTTTTCTGTAGAAATGGAATAAAATCCTTTTAGGTGAGCTAGCTATATTTCATTCGTGCTAATATCGTGGCAAACCAGCAGTTGCATACGCTTTACTATAGGGGATGAAATACCTGAGAGGCACTTGTCCAATTCCTTAGCATAGCTTAGAGAAGAAGCCGATGTCATGCCATCTAGGCGAGGGCGCTTAAAAGTAGTCATTGGTAAGCCTTAGTCTAGATTTAAAACAGTCAATAGCTGATTTACTGTTGCCTTTGAAGTTCGGTTTTCTATTGGAATAAAACTTATGATCACGTAAATTCGATGGATAGTAAAGTGTTAATCTCGGAAACCACTGAGGTACTAATTAATTAATTGGCAACGCATTACTTAATATACATCTCGAATGTAACATTTATTTCACTCAACCCCAACTTCAAATGTAATAATTATGTTAGAATCTTTGCCCCGAATGGAAACGTATACCATCAGTTATGCAATGATGTCAAAGTTTTCGATAAATATCATTTTTGTTAAAGAGGCAGCTTGCTTTGCTCACAAATTAGTCAATACTTAAATACTTTATAAATTAGTATCAACTAGATTCTATTCCGACTTCATCAACATTAATGACGCTTTATTGATTGCTTGCAACGATTTGAATATTAATAAGTCTGAAATCTCGCACATATTATTGACAGTTAGGTTTTAAACTAACTGATCATTATGGTCGTAGTGGATGCAACATTATCGACTTTTAGCTTTCGATCATTCATACGATACGTATTACGCTTAATGATAGGTCATCATTGCAAAATTTTAACTCAATCATAAATGTAGCAAGAAATAGCCATTAAGTAATCATTAAATGACTTTGATTAATTCGAAATGATCCATTATCTTCATATAAGAAGTCGCGGCCATGTTGGAACGGTGCCAACAATATCTAACTTGCACTTTATTTATTGACATTATGCATTTTTTATTCATAATTACTTCTTTTGTATTGATTAGTGTTCTAATCAGCGCAATAATAATTGCAGAGTTTTTAATAATCTACATGTTTCTATGAGTGGTGTCAAGTGTGGACATAAAAATTTAATTTAGAGGAACATAGCAAATGCACTAAAATTTATATAATTGTGTATTAGCATAAGAGCATAAATTTGAAATAGCCGGCCTTAATAATACCTGTGGATAGTTCAAAAATAGCTAGCACAATTTGCTTTGGAAATTTTTGCATTTCTACAGTAATATGCATAATTAATTGGTTCATTTTTTTAAAACAGCTCTATTAGGAAATGGATATTGTTTATGTGTTCACTTTTTTTATCTCATGCAGTAAAGTTACGAATTTTCAAATGTAAGCGAAATCTTTGTATTAAAATAATTTTGTCTGTGTCTGTGTACTCTTTCAGTATGTCGCCTGATATGCGGATATCACGAGTGATGTGTGTACTACTTGATAATTACAATTATTTTCAAATTAAGCAAAGATAGCGCCAGTAAATAATTAATTAATTGATTAATTAAATATCAAGCGTCGAAGGCGTTATTTCTACTATGTAATTAGAGATTAATAAATTACCAGTCGATAATATGCATTCTGTTGATTAATTCATTCTATCAAAAACTTTATTTGCAATAAAGTCGCTTGTGAAATTAACTGTAGTATTATAGTATTATCTGTAATAAGCTTTGGCAATTGTCAAGTATTAACTTATAGTACGATAATCCCCTGCACGATCATTAATTAAATTAAATTTACAATTAAAAATATTGCAGTAATTATTTCTTCGATAATGGTGCACAATTAAAAACAATTATCGAATCAATTAGGGACTGCTGACCTAATGATTGGGTAACATAATTAAATAATTTCCGTAAATTAACGTTAACAGCGATAGTTTATCATTACATTTGTAGGGCGAAAATCTAAATCAGGCAAAGTAGTTACCACCTATGTAGGAATACGATAGAATTCAATAGCCGAAACTATCTCATGACATTTGCAACTACAGTTACTAGGTACCTGTATATTATCGGTAGTATACTAAATATCCATTATACAGTTATTACCCTCTTACATTATCTTCAATCGCTATGAGGATACAGTTTTGAATGCATAATTATAGTTGAACTTTGATGGGTAGTTAACATCTCTATTCTTGTTCATGACTAAATAGTTAAGTTAGTAATAAATAGTGCTTGTAACCATTGATTATGATTACACTTACTTTGACTTTGTTAGCCAATCTTGATTTCTTGATACCAGGGCTTAGCACAGACGTAAATAATTTACACGATAAACCCGGGGTTACAATTTTGCGCTAAACCACATCACGATAGATGCAAACTTTGAAGATATTCTTAATATGCTTAATGCAATGCAAAGAAATCAAAGCTTTTTAATGCCATACATTTAAAAGTTAAATAAATTCTAACTTTTAAAGATCGTTGTTTAATTAGTCTAGCGCAACCTGGATTAAATGATAGTCTAGTATATTTTATAAGGATAAGGGGACAAAGCTGTAATTCCAACATCTGAACTGAAACTTATAACATTCGACCCATAAGCGTTGAAAACCTAAAGATATCACCTTTATTATATACTTAGATGTAAAAATGATTCCTTAACTAATTCGTTGACTACCTAGTTTGAGTTTTCACTTTGATATTCATTACTTTTATTCTAGTTCACTAGTTTAAAATCAATTATTTCTATTTTATTAAAATTTCAGGTGAAATTGACCATAATAAGATGTATATACAATAGTAACTGAAAATAAATAACATCCTATAAACTGATCCATAATGCTCTTTTAGATCGCAAGATTAATATTATTTTTCTCATGTTTTCAGACACAAGAACACCAATATTAATGGATGGTAACTCGCAACCACAGTAATATAATTTGCTAAAGAGTATAGAAACCTTGCTTAAAGCAGATTTGGAAATGAATATTGATAAATTACGAGCACTATAGCTTAGAATGGATTGCTGAGCTAACGGCGATACCCTGAAAGCGAAAATTGGTATTGTAAAAGTTTTCTTTGGCTGCTGTTATAATCTGCAGCATAAATTAATACCTCAAGTATCACAATTAATTACTAATTCTTCGTCAAGCATCCTATATATAAATATTACGAATGGGAATATCCTAAAGACGCATGAGATTGAATATAATTTAATTTCTTTTCATTGTTTTGAAAACAGTCGAGTTCGAAAAAGGTTATTTTTATCAAATAATTTATATATAAATAATTTAGTGATATTGTTAAACACTTTGACATAGTACGAGTAATTTTCGATATAAAAATTTGAAATATTCTATACAACATTATATAATAAATAAATATTGAATACATAAACATTATAATGAAGCATACGTACACAACCTAAGTCCAAAACTTGTTATTTCTGGTAGAAAGTAAATTCTAATCAGACGGTGTTTGTTTCGTCGTAATAGAAATGTATTTATACTAGGACAGGAATTTGGATTCATGAAAACAAGGAATTTATAGATAAAGGTATCCATTCCTGTTTATAACTATCGGATCATAATATTTTCTTTCTCGATGGGTGCATCAATTTAATTTGACAATTATGTTTACATGACCATGTTTAATTATTCCTTTTTAAGCAAGTAGATATTCACGACATCATGGATTGCATATTCACGTTACAACATATTAAATAACGCTAAAATTTATCGCGATAGCACAGCAATGTCAGCAGCAATCTATACAGATTGCTGAAGTAGATTAGCAGTATGACATTAAATTAAGCTATTAATTTAAAAGTATTACAATGAAGCTGCTATCGTTAAAACATCAACTGATAGTAACACAACACTTTCACATAGGTCATAAGTACTACAAAGTTCATTTCTAGCGTGATGGTTAGAAATCTAATAATGATTTTTCTTTTTTTTTCTTTTAATGAATTTCGTTCAGACAGATTTTTAAAATAATTCAGGCTTAAGCCAATTTAAATAATGCTAAGCAAAGGAATACCTCTTGATACATATAACATTTCTAGAGCGTTTACTTCATTTAGTTCTATGCACACATCATGAATGTCATTCCATACACGATACGTCTAATTAAATTAACTCAATAATAATATGGAACATAGTCATGTATTTTATGCTCATTAATAAACTACCATTGCCGTGCCAAACAATTTCTTTACTCTATGATCCGGAATTGAAATTGGCAGCTGAGCTGGATAGACCAGCTTGCCTTTCTAGATCATCAGCCAATTCTGAATGAAAGCGACGGACAGTGATGCAAAATTGTTCAAACGCTTTGCTACCTCTTTCGCATAGAATGTCCAGGAAATTTCGAACCCTTCTGTTAAATGTAGAAAAATTTTAATTAATTATACGCGTACTTGTTGATCTAGTTTAAATATTTAAAAAGTAAATAAAATGAGGCGTAGCTATTTTTTTGTAGTATCTAGGTACTGTCTTAAAAACGGGCTACGTACTGCTCGTACATACTACGCGGATGCTTTGGTTTGATTGCTGTTAAATGATTACACTGTAAAGCTAGTTGCGAAGTAGAATATACGACAAAATAACCATACAGTTAGAAACTCAATATTTTAACAAATTTCTAATGAATGCTTACATGTATGGATTTGGGACGGTGCTACCATAAAGTTGCACCTTGTGATCATAGGTAATAACGCCTTGGCTGAACATAGCATCAATGATACTATCAATACTCGTAGAAATATTTGTAACGATGTTATCTCTATTTCTGCGAATAATTTGCCTGTGAAATTTGCTCATTCCAACCGCGTTTACGTTGTGTTCAGGCGGACCCCCAATCACAAGTATTTGTATTTGTACCTGTTTCACCTGTCGTATAAACATGGAACAATACCAAACTTTAATATCATAAACGGTAATCCAATTATCATATTTTAATAGTAGACAGCTTTAACATTGGCAATACCTTCTCAGGAAAACAAATACGAATGTCTCCCATTTCTGCTATCAAGTTGATTGTAATCAAATGCTTCTGAACGTTGATAAAAGTAATGATACTAGTAGATATCAGCTCCTACAATAGGATGATAGGAAGTTTATCAATTAAACCATTATTATTGATCCTCTATAAATTTATTTCCATTATTGTATAGTTCACCATTTGTGATCTCTCGAGGTAAGAAACAAGAATCAACTTTAAAATGGCTGGAGAAATTTTTATAACTCAAATTAAATCAACGCTCATCTGCTAGCATATTTTTATAAACTACGCTTGTTAACTACTTAATAAAATTATAGCATGTATGAGCTCGGTAATTGTTATTACTCATACTGGCGTATCGTATTAATAACAATTTGACAAGAAAAAACTTGATTAAATGGTTTAATTAGATTAACTTTGTTCTTTATTCATGTTTATTTTATCCCGTCCGACTATAAAGTATACTATATTTTATAATACAGTTGATATAGTTATACTATTTATAGCCTGAATAATGATAATTGCAATTACTTAAATCAAACGTGTTGATGATAATGACTAATTGATTATCAATTCACTCATTCACTTGCTAACTGATGGAACATATCGGCATAATTCGATGAACTATCGTTGAAAAAATTATCAGCAGGGCATCTACCACACCCCCATTGAATTGTCAACACACTAACCAATCGCAGACGAATTATTATTCCAGGTTTTATTAGAATTAATCTACGATGCATTCTGTATTTGAAGTATATTATGTCTTTAATCAATCGGGCATAATGCGATCGAAGGATGATCGTTGACAATCCAAATATTTCCACAATACTTTTGTGATCCTAACAATTCCTTCGTAACGCATTCCATGCATAATTTGCAGCAATAATTATTGATGCAGCTTAATTATTGAGTATTGAACAATGTTACGAAAATGGACTTCATGAACGGATTGTTTAGCTATAGAAACCAGTATAAAAAAGACTCGTAAACATTACTGCACTTAGTTACTATAATAATTGTTTTGATTTTTTTTAATTCGAAGAACAATATCGATCTGTTTCGTCCTTAAAGTGTATCGTAAATGTATAAAGTATTCGCTAGCCTATTGTGCTCTATAAGGAAAACTGGAATTACAATGAACGTTGTAGTTATGTGGCTGTGGCAAGGATTTCAAACTGGACTTTGAAATTACGGCAGCCCAAGTAAACAAAACAGATCTGAGTCAAGCTTGTTCTGTTTTGCTATTTGAAAAACAGACTGATTACTATAAAAAGTGACATTGGAATACATTAGCACTACATCAATTGCCTGCAAGTGATAAAAAAATCAATTCCTATTTTTAATTATCGCCGTGTGCGATATTTTTTATCGCTTATTCCCTCTATTTTTTGATGAATAAGGTTGTATTGATGATTTTTTTAGTACCCTATCATATTTTCTTTATAATCAATTTGGGCATTTATTTTTACGGAAAACATTAAAAAGAAAATCAAAATATTGCAAGTGTGAATGCCCTTATGAGCGCTTTTCTTCCGGAATATGAAATAGTTTACAATTTCATGGTCTCATATTAGAGTGCTTTAGAAATAAGATATCGTTAACTACTTGCTATGCACTTACAAGTCTGATTCATAAAGTTGAACTTACCGGTAAGGAAAACTCTTCCGATTTGTTGTGTAACAAGTTCTTTTTCCTCGAATTGCTGACATTTAAAATTTGCTAAGCGGACCGGTCACTAAAATACGAATGGACCTCCGTATACATGGAATGTAGACATATGCGAATAAAATGCCTTGATCAGCTCAATTTATACTTTTAAACCACCATCACGTGATGAATACAGTAGGTCATGATTTTACGGGGTTCTTATTAAAGGCTAGGCAAGTTTGTTTCTAAATAAAAAGTAGCGTACAAACTGTAGCCAATAATGTTTATGCAGTGATTATGACGCTATTTTCGACAGGAAAGTATATGAGATATCCTACCTACAGTATAATGCAGCATTCTATTCCGTAGTAGCGAATAAGCGACTGGACCTTTAACCTTTGAGCTATTATGTGTAAGTTCTAGACATAAAAGAGATTGAGAATAGAACAACAGTACTACGCCCTTCATTGTTTCATCTGACCTATTACCCGCTATCTATTCTCTTTTCTTGTTATGAAAGATGTTTAAGACATCGTTGCTGCTGTACTATGTACTAAACTATTTATGCACTTTACTAGATGTGGTTCTGTATAGCATAAAACATTCCTTATGATATTTCTGCAGTTTTGACAGTGTAAAAGGAGCTGTTTCCGCTGTATGGCAATCAATTTTCAATTTAAATGGAAGACCTTTTTCAAGAAGTTCATACCGCTTATATTATAACCTCTAATGATGATTATGCTAATTACATTTCAAGAAGACGTTGCCTTCTAAATATACAAATAAAATTACTATTCCTCATGGAATGATTATCCGAATAAAATTTCTTTAATTCCGTGAAAATAGAAATATAAACGATCAACATGACTTTCATGTCATTGTAGTTGTTAGCCTACAGTTTTAACAACGTTCAATTCTAAAACTAGTACCGCATCTCAAATACAACTTACTTCTTGACGTTATAATGCCTTTAAAATATATGGTAGACATCGTTCATTAGAGCAGTATGAGATAGGATGCACTATAAACAAACGTTTCAGTCTCCGATATGGAACAATGGAGTGGCGATACAAGTATTCAGTAAGAATGATATTTTTAAAAGGCAGTGGATGAAATTGAAAGCTTATGAAAGCGTCTACTAAGCTTTCATAGAACCTAGAGTTTGTCTACAGAACAATCTTAACCGATTATTCCGCAGCCAATTATTTTAAAAGAGTCATTTTGTCAATTATCACAGAAGAGTTGATAAATCATTTTGGAATACATAATATTCTATATATTCGTGTAGGATTATTTGATTCGATGCCACACGCAATCATTCGATGGCCTGTTTCTAAAGTGACGTCATTTGTTTACAACTATTGCAAAATTTTCAATAAAATTACCATACTCTATATTAGCATTGTCGTTCTCGCTGCAAAATTGCCTTGCTAAAGTAGATGATTGTACAAATCAAATATATTGTTTAATGATGCCATTCTATTAGAGTAGCGTATCAGTTTTTACGCTGCACTGTACATGTATAATTTTACAGTGAGCGAAATGAGTATAGGAAAATTATAGTTTCAGTTAAAAATAGAAACTTTGGATAGTGATCTTACAGAGAGAGTTATTGAAATAGTTTAATTCAAGCTAAGTATAATAGCAGTCTACTGAAGTTCAAAGAATAGTAACTTGAGCGGCTGATAACGTATAATTTGTGCAAGATATATAGAAGGGCTGTGCAATTCAAATGATTGTATCCAAGACCCACTATTTAATTTTATCGAAATGAACGTAATTAGGATTTCCGTCTTCGATGATTGATTCCAGTAAGAGGGTAATAAAATAATTGGATTTTCAAGTGTACTTATACGTATGTATGTATATATACACGCTGTAACACGATGATGTAATAATAATAATACAAATGGGTTAACTGCTAGCATGTCCTCATTCTTGGTAAATAAACAAAAGTTTTACATTAAAAATTGAACAAATTGAATTCTTGCTTTAATTTTTGGTTATATCTTACACTACATTACTTACTACTGTACTGATTTTAATTTGGAGTATATGAAATTATCCATTTTATGAGATGATGATCGTATGAAGAAGGTAGTATAACAACGATTTCGTAATTCTTTCTAGATGCAATTGTTATTGCTACTCAAAGTCAAAGAAATAAAAGGTCTACCTTACTATACTGTCGTTTAAAGCAGAAATATCTAAATTATAGTAATACATATATATATATGTGTGCACAACTACTGATGATTAATTATAATCGTTAACATTGTACTGCAGTAACGTCAGAATTTTTAAATCACGGGATTTTTGATTGTTAACCTTGCTACCAGCCAATCCCAATGCATTTGACACGTGCTTATTTCAAAGCAGTTCCTTTTGATCACTTCTACGTTGTTAAACAGTAACAGAACCTTTCTACCATTAAAACATTACCAGTTAACAAAACAACATTTTAAATGTTAATATTATCCAAATAAGAAATTATAAGGTTTTTTTTTTTCACTAAAGTTAGGGAAACAACTGAACGTACTACATGATAAACTGTATAATATCTTCAAATATATATACGCGTAGAATGGTTATTACAAACTATTTAGCTCTAAAGGATGTTGGAACCAACGCAGACATAAACAAAGTTTCAGTAGATTAGATACCGTAATTTCTACAAATTTGCATAAATAAATACGCACTATGAATAGGTAATAACGCTAAAGGTTTGCAACAGCGATTAAATTATCCTGTAAGTCGTGCCTATTTTATTTTTGCGTTATTCGCTTCTCGAAGGCTATAAGTACTGCAGACGCTAAGTAATTCCTGCAGGGAAAAATTGACGTAGTTCTTAGAACTTAGCCAGCGCAGTTTTAAATGTAAATATATAAAATACTTACTTACTGTACCGTACTTAATATTAATGGAAGAGTTTGTCCGTTTGATAAATGAAAAGCTCCAGTATTACGGATAAAGTTATTGTAAAATAGTTTTTTAAATACAGTATGAGGCAGCTCGATGCATTAAGCTATTACTGAGTTCTCTATCTGTGTTCATATGCCAAAAATTATGAAAAAAGTTCAAGCTTTAATAAAGTTACAAAGTTTTGGATGTGTAGTGTATTTAGTTTCACTGTAGTTTTTAGACATGTTCGTAAATATAGACATTTTATTATCTTCCGAATACAGATATCTCTACAGTCTATTTCAACTAAGCTTAAATATAGCATGTCATGTTAAGTCATTTATAGCACCTACAGTCTTCGCTATTTCCTACAATCATTTACCACTATATAGCCTGTTTATGGTATATAACGTATCTAATTCTACAATACTGTTCTCTGCGTGTGTTCTCTCTCTAAAACTATAATTACTGATGATTTCTGCCTCAGATTCGTCAATAGCACTATTCCTAGCAGTAGTACTTCATCACGTTACTTCACGACAGCTTACACCCTGATCTACCGTAAGTACCGCATTGTACCTCTATTACTGTCTACAATAATGTATTCACTTTTATTGCAATCCCTTACATATTTTCTGTAAATTGCTACTCAGTCCGCGGCCGCTGATTCTTCGAACTCTCTATCATAAGATGTACGGGTATTATTTTATTTCAGTATTGAATATCGTAACGTTACTGAGACGAGATTATTCTTTGCAAATTAAACGCACGTGTTATCATAACACACTACTATTTAATTTTATAAAATATTGCCACAATCGCCGATGTAGGATTTAAACACAAAAATGCTACAGAAATCTATTTAAATAATTTTAGCGATCGAAATTTGCAACAAATTGCTCCAGGATTCAGTAATCAATCGCTACTATGGAGGTAAAGATATCAACGGACTACAAATCTAGGTCTTTATTACAATAATGGCACTCCTATGTCGGCAGTCGTGTTAGATTGTAGATATGGCAATGCTACTCTTAAGAGGCTTATCTTCCACCTCTATAACCGCTTTCTAACCATCGTAAGGTAGTCGTATTCACCGTTGTTGAAGCAAATTTAAATTAAAATTAATATCCATTGGCCTACTTAGTGCTAGAAAATTTCCCAGTTTGTATTGGATTGCTTTTCATACGTAATTGAATGTGAATTCGATATTTTTAAATCTTACAGATCATAGATTTTCGTGCTACTTAAGTATTGTATGGATATAAAGTACTTAATAATACAACAACACCTGCATCACCCTGTAGTATACAAAACTACTGTAATTAGCTGAAATCGTAACACACCCTTACGTGATTACTGGCTTCGGAAACCTTATTAAAACTACAAGATTGCAGTATTTAGTAAGATGTTAAGCTTCGGTTTAATGTTATCATATAGTAAAGTAATATAATCAAGCTAGCGTAGATAATAAAATACTTGTGAACAGAGAAACATTAGCACTTTCTAAAGTTGTTAGTTGTAGACTATAAATTTTTATCTCCTACTAAGGAGTTCAACCATAATTTTGACATCTGTAACAATAGCCTGTACGAGTGTACTGTACGTACAGTATAACTTTCATATATACTAACTACTAAGGCATAACATTAATTAAGACTTGATTCCTACTTTATTTCGTCCCTGGAATCAATGTTACCGCACTTGAAGTGTCACGGTAAGTTCCCTAGACAATCTAGTCTACTAATTTACAATTACTAATACTCCATGACGATGGCTACGCTATGCTAGCATTATGATTTCAGAAATTAATCCGGAATTGCTAAGATTTACAATATGCAACAGCAGTCAATATTATAATTGACTCGTCATCGCTATAGCTATAAGAATCATAATTCCGATTTCTTCTCCCGAAAAATTATAGCTATAATAAATATTCAATATAATTACATGCAATCGTAATCATGCGTAATCATAATGTTACATTTTATTCAATATACTGTAATATTACAGATTTGATAATACTAGATCAATCATAACTCAAAATAGTGAATTAAAACGGACATTTTTTATAAATCACAATTGTCCATAAAATTTCGATATACAAAGCCTTTCATATTGTTAATAATAATATTTACATTAATAAGCGCATGAAATATTTTAATTCTGAAGTAAATAATATTGTAGGCTCATTTAGGAATAATAACATAAAGTCTGCTTTTCAAATAATATAAGTCGTCAAACAGAAATAGCAGATTTGATGCAAGTGTTAAACATAGCTGAAGAGAGCTAACATTTACCTGATTGCAACAGCATCTATTTTGAATTCTTGAATGCTGGAATAGTGATATCAATAATCCCACGTCTGTCAATTCCTAGACGTAAAAGTAGTTATTTTTAGCGAATGATATGGAAATTAATTGTTATAAGAATATGTATTAAGTACGATTATACTAAAGCGGTCTACACGTAGTTGTTAGAAATAGCAGCATAAGATGTGGCCTCCGTTAACACATACTGTTCACCAGACCTCTGAATGTACTGTATTGAACAATGTACAAACAGTATTATACACGTCATGAATAAATAATTAATTCAAATTAATGTGTCAATAAATTAATTCAATTACGATAATTGAAACACAAGATTCACGGTACACTCCAAGTGAAGAAGCATTGTTCTCTATGAAGAGTTTAATCATAAAATCACTTTATTGTAGGATATCAATGCTGCGAAACTCGCAGCCTTTTTGACTCATCTGATTCTGCAACTTGCTATAGATCATATTGGCGACAAACTCTTAATCAACAGCACTACAGTTTCATTGGGTAGTGTTAATTTGTGAATCTTACAGTATATAATTATCGTAATATCGGCAAAATCTTTTTTAATAGTTTTCAAGGTGTCACACCATTTGTAGCAGTGGACATGTCACTTAAACTATCGGAAATACTCGCATCACAAATAAAGCGTAAATTTAAAACATTTACTTGCCAACTATGACCGTTTACCAAACACCGTAACATTGCTTGGATGTAATCATTAATGTTATGATATGATACAGACCTAACCATCGTAAGCTAATCGCAAATGCGAGTGTTTACATAAATTTTAATTTAAATTAATGTCTACTGACCTACGCAGTGCCAGAAAATTTTCCCGGTTTATATCGGATTGCTATTCATACGCAATTGAATCTGAATTCGATATTTATAAATCTTACAGATCATAGATTTTCGTGCTTCTAAGGTATTATTTGGTGGCAGAGTACATAAGAATACAATAACACTTGCGGCACATATACTTAATTAATGGCGTCGGAAGGCTTATTACATCTACAAGATCACAGTATTTAGCTCGTCACTCAATTTCGGTTTAATGTTATTAGATAGTAAAGTACAGCAATCTAATCAAGCAAGTGTGATGCGAATAGCAAAATACCTGTGTAACAGGAAATATAAACACTTCCTAAAGTTTTTAACTGTAGACTATAAAATTCTACCTTTTAATATGGAGTTCAACTATAATTTTGGCATCTGTAGCAATAATGTCCTCGTTGTCAATCAATAAGCTAAGTGGATCTGTAGGTACAAGTGAAGTTTATTGAAAGCCCGTTAGGCTTTTATAGTAGAGCTCCGTAAGATTACAGTAATCGCGTAAT